AGAACAAAACGATTGAGCCAGCTGTTAAGATTGAATCGCACTCAATTTCGCAACATTATCCAGTCAAATGTTGCAGATGGGACAATAATTATTAACAATCTTCTTCAGGTATCTTTTTTAAATAATAAAGAAAAAAGAGTAGTAAGTTACTTTTTTGGTTCTTGAGTTTATATGATGTTTTCGCTTCAATTTCATTCCTTTTATAACATATTTTGCTTCATCAAACGTTTTTAAAATTTTTTTTTTTGGGGATATGGAAATGATGCAGCATTTGAAAGAAAAATCAGACCCAATAATGGAAGCAGTATTGGCAGATATAGAAAATATGTTGTCTCAAGGAAGAATGGATGTGCCTTTAAGTTTATGTTTTGCAGTTTCAAGAGGTGATGATGTTTTGTTACATAAATTGCTTAGACGAGGTGGCCTTGATGCAAATGAGGTCGACCATGCTGGACGCACAGTTCTTGTAAGCTAACCACATTTTGATAATTTATTCCTTTTCTACCCTTGGTAAGTATTAATTAATGCTAAATAAAATATTCTTTTTTTTTTCGGTTATTATTGTTTTTATAGAATCTTGCAGCCGCTAGTGGAAGTTTGGAATGTGTGCTTTTACTCTTGGATTATGGAGCAGATCCAAATAGAAGAGGTATTCAAATTGTGAAATTGCATTTTTTGTTGAAATCTAATCCATTTATGTAAAAATGGGTCAAATTGGGTTGTATTTATTATCAAGGGGTTAAATGAGTAAAAAAAAAAAAAAAAAAAAAAACCAAAAAGAGAACGGTTCAATTTTTCCCATTATAATGCTAAGAACACACCCTTAATCGAGCTAACTTTTAACTTTTAAGCCTTCACACATATCAAAAGTAGAATAAAATAATCAAAAGAAATGAAAGTAGGTTGCTATTAATAGTATATTCTTGCAGATACCGATGGAAACGTTCCTCTATGGAGTGCGATAGTAGGGCGAAACGAATCCGTGATAAAACTACTCGTAGACAACGGTGCAAACCTAAGCAACGGTGACGTAGGCGAATTCGCTTCATTTGCCGTGGAACAAAACAGCATCGAAATGCTACAAGACATAATCAAACACGGCGGTGACATCACGGTGAGAAACAGTATGGGGACCACCGCGCTCCACAAGGCCATATCCGAAGAGAAAACGTCTGTAGTCGAGTTTTTAATCAATCACGGATGCAACATCGACATGCCGGATGTCCACGGGTGGACCCCGCGTGACTTGGCACATCATCAAGCACATGAAGATATTTTGGATATGTTTAGGAAAAGACCCTCGCCTAAGGAGAAGCCACGGAGGAGAAAAACCAAACTTGATGGTGCGTCGTATCTTAAGAAATACCAAAGTGAGCCGCGGATGCTGCATTTGCCTACGGAGTTGCCGAGGCTTTCGTCTGCGGGCGTGCAAGAGAGTAGGAAACGGCCCGATGATTTTAGTAATTCGCTTTTTGGGATTGTGTCGTCTGCTAGTCGGAAACAAAGTGCAGGTATTTATTCGATAAGCCATTTATATTTGTGTAATTTTATTGACTATCTTTTCGATGATTTTAGTTAAACTATAAATTTTATTGTATAAAAGTAACAACACAATATATTTTCTTATTATTTACATTTGTAGGTGATATAAGTTTTATACCGGCACCACTACCTCCCGGAGGCGATAAAATTGCGAGAGTGACAATTAGTTGTCCGGAGGCAAATGAACAAGTAGGGAAACTTATACGCCTTCCCGGATCTCTTCAAGACATACTTAATATCGGTGCCCAAAAATTTTCCATTACCCCTACAAAAGTTCTAAATAAAGATGGAGTTCAAATTGAAGATATACAGCTCATTAGAGATGGTGATCATCTTGTCCTTAAAACTTGATAGCTATGTATCAAGTTTCTAAGTTGTAACTAGTTAGGAACGTGTACAAGTATGCAGCCTTCCTTCCTTCCTTGTGTGTATGTCTGACCTATGGTAAGAGTTGAATGCTATATTCTCTTAGTTTTTTTTGTAGTTTTTGTGTAAAAACTATGAAAGATCATATGGGAGACGTATGAACAAGATCAAAGGGATGAACATGTTAGATAAAGGTATGGATTTGTTAAAGGTATAGATGAAGATTCTTGATGAAGAAAGTTAGTGTATAATATTAGTGATCATTTGTAAATGTCATTAGAGAAAGGACTTTGGGTGAGTATGTCCCACTTACTACTTATATCCAAAGTATGCCCCACAATGTAAATCCTTTAAAAATATGATAATCTTTTTAATTTTTTTTTCTTTCAAGAAACATTTGATATACTTTTCCACAACGTGTTCGGTGATTACTTATCATGGTTTTAAGATGCAACAATTATACCCCAAATTCCATAAGATCGTGGGAAAGGTAGAGTGTAGACAAACTTAGGGCTTTTTTTTTTTTTTTTTTTTTCATTTAAGTCTGTACAAATAAAGTAGTTAAATGGATATGTTGTTAGAAGTGTTGTTAAAAATTATAATGTTTTATATGTGATTTTGAAAAATGTTTATTTTATTTAGATAAAGTTTTGCGATTGGTCCTGTGGTTTGTAAAAACTTTTGTCATGAGGACAAATATCAAAACTGTAACGAGTTTGGTCCATGTGGTTTCTAAAGATTGCTTGTTTCGTCCATGTGCTTGATTGCGGTTCACAGGGGCGGATCTATAATGGTGCACGGGGTTGCACCGGCAACTACTAGATTTTTTCGTATTAATATAAAAATAAAAATAAAAAGTTTTTTTTATTATTATGCACATATAACGAAACGAGTTTATTATCATTTCTATTCATTCTTATTATCAAAAGTTAGGTTGGTTGAGTTGGTCAAAGGTGCTGATTAAAATTGTCCTTGGAAATGGCTATAGTTCGAATCCTACCCAAAACAATTTTTTTTATTTATTCTTACGTTCACTCTCGAATCCTACCCAAAACAAGTTTTTTTTATTATTTATTCTTACATTCACTTTTCTAGTTCGAATCCTACCCAAAACAAGTTTTTTTTTTTTTTTTTTTTTTTTTTTTTTTTTACATTCACTTTTCTTTGCCCACGACAATTTTTTTTTATTTACTTCTACTTTTATGTACAATTTTTTATTAGTCCCCAAAAATATCTAGCCAACAAAAAGAGCTTCAATATAGCTTGTTAAAACGTAAGCCATTTTCAGTAAAAATAAATTAAATCACTTTACTCGTCGTTTAAAATTCATATCTTAATCGTTTGCTTTTTCATCAACTGGGCAATCATTTAGTAAAAAATCATTTTTTTTCATTAGCAAACATATGCTCCCACGAACTCAAAATCATTTCAACCTTCTTCGTATTTAATATATATTTTTACACACAATTGGATATGTTAGAGCTACATACAAATTCTTTGTGACCCATGACCTTTTATAACTTTCTATTTAATTTCTTTTCAACGTAATAACTTTTACATCACAAAAAAAAAAAAAAAAAAAAAAGAACGATAAAACAATAATACAATAAATTTTGTGAGAATAGTTTTATGTTTAAAAAACGTTAATTTGTCGATATATTCATAGATTGAAACTACGTAAATTTAATATGTTTTATATGTAAGGTTCATACACATTACACACATATGTGTATAGATGCATTACATATGTTTCAAACTAAACAACTACTTCTCTTCATAATTATTAAAATTCAGGTTAATTCAATTCATGTCTCATTCTACATTTTGAATTGATTCGTTTGTTTTGTCAAGCAAAATGTATCGAACTTATACAAATGCATTTATTAGTTGGCATTTGTGTGATATATATTGCTTTAAACAATTGAACTTATAAAAATGCATTAATTCGGAATGAAATTTTGGTAATAAGCCTTCAAAACTTTGTACGACCACGACCAAAACGGAAACAAGCTCCACGAGACCAGGAACATGCCCATGAAAAGAACAGTTTGCCCTTTACGAAGTTTGTATACAGAAATTTGTTTTGTTTAATGCACTCGTAACTTTTTTTGTTATATTTGATCGGAATTTTTTTTGTGCAACTACTACTTATTCCTGCATCCGCCCCTGGCGGTTCATAAGGGTATTTGTGTCTTTTCATTTGTCCTGTCATTCTAATCATAGTTATGAAGAGTATCCTCCAAAGTCATCCATCTTATTTTATCTCATCCCCCAAAGAAACCCATAGTTTTTTAAATCATATCTTCTTCGAACAAAGGGTTTTCTCCGGAAATAATTGAACAGTTAAGCAAATGTAACGAAGCATAAGTTTTCAATGGGGGCAAAATCGAAACTTTTGAATTTAAATAGACATTATACCATTCCAACTCTCTAATACATTACTAGGTCGTATTTAAACACACATGTATCCACAGTAGGATATAATCACATCCGTATGTTTGCCGACACACACACACACACAGTGGACCAGTGGTGGGACCAAAATTTATCATATTATAATCGTTAGAAGGGTTCCCATAGTCGATCTCTTAGCATAAACGTGATATTAACATAAAATCGGTTGAACCAAAATTTTCAAAGTACAATGTAAAAAATAGGCAAAGAATTGTGAGTAGTCATTTATA